ATGCGACGGATAGGAGGAGAAGGAACATGTCGGAGGGGGTGAGGAGGATGCGGATAGGGCGGGTTAGACGGGGGAGGTCGGCAAGGGGGGGGGGAGGGGACGGGGTGGCCAAGAGTTCTGACACCCAGTGGGAGGATGACGAGGAGGGGGGAGGAGGGCGACTCAGTTCAGGGCTCCCGCGCAACACTGGAGTTGCACCAGCACGTTTTCACGTTTTGGCCGCTCGGAGCTTCATCGCTCCTTGCCAGCGAGGCTGCGCATCAGGAGGGGCTCTGCGAACGGATGGGGAGAGGGTTAGTGTACGTGTATCATTCCATGGGACCCCCCTCGGACCTGGCGCGCATCCAATGACTTTCTGTCTCGGAGTTCAGTGTTGGGTAGGAAGTGCAAGCTGTGGGCGGCCTGCTTGGGGTCCCTGGTGCACTGGCGCTCGGAGACTTTGAACGACCTTGCGAGCGTCCGTCGTGCTGCGCCTCTGTGGACCTCGGTCCGTGCTGGTGCTTGCTCCAGCCACTGCTCGGAAAACTGAGGCTCCGAGCGCTCGTCATCTCGGCCATGCGAGGTCTGCTCGTGGAGTCGACGGGGGGGGGGGGGTCCCTCATCCGATCGCGTGCTCGCATCCGCGTGATGCCCCACTTGCCATGCTACCTGACCCCGCTCCTCAGGCACCCTCGCGTCCATCCTGTGACCCCTGCAACTCCCCCCCTTCTCGCTCGCCCCCCTCTCCCCATCTCTGCCCCTCTTTACCTAGCTGCCCTTTCCCTTGCCCTTCTCTCCCCCCTCCCACCTCTTCCTCCAACCGCCACCCCCTCCCTCCCTCGAGCCGCGCATCTTTGAGTTTTTGCGCATATAGTACTGCCGCGCATGCGTGCGTGCTGTCACCTCCCCGAAACAACGCTACCGCAGCATGCGTTGCGGCTGGTTCAGAGAAGCACTCTAGAGCAACCATTCCATCGACCATTTTCTTCGGGGTTCGCCTCGAGCCGACCATGCGTCGCCCTATCGGCGGTCAGTTGGGACACCACTTTGAAACCACTTTGGGACCATTCGGCCCGACCATCTGAAAACCATTTCAAAACCATTCCTGTTAACCCCCAGCAGCACGCGCGCATTCCCTCCACAAGCGTAGTGCACTCGACGCTTGACTGTCGTCTCCTTGCCCCAAGAACTTCGACGTTGCATTGTCGCCCTCATCGCCACGTAAATGAATGATGCGTTGATAACAGGAGCGTCGAGAAGGATGTGGAAGAGAACATGAGGAGGAGAGGTCGGTACCCCCTGGTGACCGCTTAAGGTTAAGGGAGGCTCCGAGCACTTAAATTAAGTGTTCAGATTATCCAAATAGAAACGACCACATATGCTTATTGAAACCGATTGGCGACCACATCGGAATACCAATGATGAGGTGGAAGATGAACTGTTGCAGGCGATGATCTGCTAATGTGTAATTTGGTACGCTATGCTAGTGCATGCTATGCCATGCCGTGGAATTCTAGCACATGCTGTTGTTGTTACGCATGACTGTGCTCGGGCGCGCGCCTCGGGGGTAATCGCTCGGGGCCTCGAAAGCTTAACCTCGGGAGACGGCTGCGCCCGAGCCATGCCAAAGCTTAGAAGATACTGATGGAACTGAGTAAGCAGGTGCGACCGGTTCGGCCTGCGCGAGGTTGGGCGCGCTTTCGGAAATTTGCGTGCTTCTGTGGGAGTTGTCGCATCAGTCGCGCTGTCGTGACATTGCGTTTCAGCATCGGGCTGGGGGTCAAACAGCAATGTGGCGCGTGCCCGCGTTGATCCTCGCCTGTTTGAAATGGCGCGTGGGGTGGGTTAGAATGGGAGCGCCGAGGAGCAATTGTCATTCGCGCGCATGGCCCCGCGATAGAAACCGCGAAACGGGACTGCTTACTGCTTGGGCATCCGTGCGCTGAGCAATGTTGTGTACCTTGGGCCTGTCGCGAGCTGCGGCGGCCTTGCTTCTGCGGCAACTGACGCCCACTGCGACCCCCCCCCAAGGATCCAATCAGCGATGCCTTTGGAGGCAAGCGTGCGGATCCACGGGTGGCTAGCGCGCGCCGCGGCTTGCGCGGGGCGCGCGGTCCACCATGCACCCCCTTAGCAGCGGCGCTAGTGCGTGAGCCATTGCACTGTCGTGTAAGATTCGGCGCTGACGGTCTCCCGTTCATTACAGGGCAGGACAAAGACATGACGTCAGCGAAAACAGCGGGCGCTGCCCGAACTTTCGGGCAACGGCGTTGTAACGACCACGGCAATGTCCAGCGCGAGCGCCCATCACTCCTGCAAGTTACTTTTGGTGCGTATACGTGTGCAGTTCAAACGCTCACGCAATGCGAAACGCGCGCGCGTCCTCCGTATTCTGATGGTTTCGTAAAAGGTAACTTGCGCTTGGTAGTATACGTGGCTTGAAAAGGCAGACCCCTGCTGTCTAATTTTCCGTACTTCGGAAAACACATTGTTGACATGTTTTTCTGGCAGAGTTAATTTATTGTTGCACACATGGCCCTGTGTGGGTCCGCCTTTCAACGCAAGAGTACTACTATTCACACTCCGTTGCTGTGTTCGCTTTGTGCTCATCAAGTTTCCACACATTCATCTGGCTTTGCAGGTGGGTCTTGTTCAAATTCGTTGACCAGCCTCATGGATTCATCCACGTATTTGTCGATATGCTCAGTCCGTCTCAAGAGCTGCAGCCAGCTCGGAAACCTGGGAAGTTTCGCGATCGCCTTTGGTGCGGTAGGATAGCTAGCCGCCGTATCCGACTTAACCTGTTGCACCCGTCTCGTCTTTCGGATTCGATGACAAACGTGCCATATCAAGTAATCGGGCCTGGTTGCGGAAGGTGGCTTTGGCCAAACACCACGGGATCTCATGTGAGGACCGAACTGTTCTTGTTTGAACTCATTGCTGTGTTTCCAGGCGTCCATATTTTCCTCGTACGAGGTCCATGACCGTTGCGGTCCCGCGATGGGGCAAACCTTCGCCCCGCTCCCCAGTGCCGTCGAATGATGCTGAATTCATCAGCTGTCGCACGGTCCTTTGGAGCAACCTGTTCCCTCATTACTTGAGGACGATTCGCACGAACTCTGAACCGAGGGCGTCTCACGCAGGGTGGCGGTGAGAGCTGGCCGGAAGGCCCCGGTGCGCACAGACCCCGCGCTCCCATTTTTTTGGCGGCGCGGCCCAAGAGGCCCCGTGCAAGCGAAAGCTGCCGCGGCAGGCAAGCAGTGCCAAGAGGGAACGAGAAGAGGACAAAAGAGGAGCAGGCAACAGTGCAAAGACGAATGGGAGAGTGGGCTGCTACCCCAGTTGGGGGCCTCTTAGCTCTCAGCGCCTTTTTGGGGCCTCTTGGGCCTTCTGGGGGCTCTTCGGAGCGGAGAGCTCGAAATGTCGGTTCGTGTCCCCCCATTTGGGGTCCTTCTTTGGGTGGTTCTTGAAGCCCTCTTGAGCCGCCGTCTCGGCACCCTCTTGGGGGCCTCTGGGCCATCTTAGGGCGATGTTTGGGGCCTTTTTGGTTGTATTGGGGCGTCGGAGGCCCGAAAAGGCGGAAACGCCTTGACTATTCAAAACAATTTGAAATCAATAAGCATTCTCGGCTGTTCTTTTGGAAGCCTCTTGGGTTGTCTTTGAGGCTTCTTGGGTCGTCTTGAGGCCACCTTCGGCGTCAGGGGGCTTTTTTTTCAGCGAATCGGGGCCATCCTGTGCACATCGGAGACTTGGGGAGGTCGTTTTGGGTGGGCACAGCGTCCAGAGGACCGTCAGGAAACACCCCATAACCCGCGGGAGAAGCCCCAGCAGGCCCCGGAAAACCCCAGGACGGCCTGGTACTCAGGAGTTCGGGGCCCTTAGAAACTACAATCCTGGCGGCAGCAGCAGCGCAATTGCGAGCCTTGGGGAATTATACTTCCTGCCGGAGGCACGGTGGCAGATATAGGTGCGTACACACATACACACATATATATGTATATATATATATATATATATATATATAGATAGATATGCAGAGACATAGAGGGAGAGGGAGAAAGAGAGAGAGAGAGAGCAAACAACGAGAAAAGAGAAAGAACACCAGAGAGGGAGGGATAGAGACAGACAGACAGACAAGCAGGCTGACAGGCAGACTCTCGAGACAGAGAAATACAAGAAAGAGAGTGGGAGAGCTCCGACCTTCAATTTCTCAGAAGGAGACTTCTCAGTCCGTGGACGTTTGTCCTTGGACGGGGAGGATCACGTCAGATGTGTGCTCAAAACGATGTGCTTTGAGAATGATTGCATGCGGGGCCAATTCAGTGAGAGCTAGAGAGCGCCTCCCAGACGGGGTGGAGGGGAGGGGGGCGGAGCGGAGGGAGAGGGGGATGATGGTGGGGGCGGGAAGGAACAGGAGGAGGAGGAGGAGGAGGAGCGGAGCAGCGGGGATGGAGGGATGGCGGGGTGCATGGAAGGAGTGTTGAAGAAATAAGGTGTGAAGGGGTCGAAGAGGAGAATACGGAGGAGGAGAAGGAAATGAAGAAGGAGGAAAAGGAGGAGGAGGATGAAATGGCGAAGGTTTGCCAGTAGCCAATGGTGAAAACGGGACTCCCAATGGGGATTTTGGGTCGGGGCGGGCTTTCAAGGCTCGTTCTGAGCTGCCTGGGGGTAGACGTTGGCCGCTTCGATCGCATGAGGGCCGTTTCGATCGGTTAAGTGGGGCGGTCAGGGGATGCGAAGAAGAAGAACAGTAAGAATACTAATAATAGTAATAAGAAGAAGAAATTGCTTAAGCAGAGAATTTCGTGCTCCGCGCGGATTTCTTGGATCGGCGCTGGACCCCCCTCCCCAGCACGCGAAGCGCACCCGCGCCGGCTCCCGCGGCGGCACCGGAGGAGACGCCAGGGGAGGCCAGCACCGATGTGTGTGTGTGTGTGTGTGTGCGTGTGTGTGTGTGTGTGTGTGTCGTTGCCTGCTCCTCCGGAGGGGGGTCTGAGCGAGCGAAGCCATGGGCGTTCCAGGGCTTCGTGGCGGGGTGCTCCTGGACGGCTTCTGCGGCGCGGGGGGCAACGCCATCCAGCTCGCACGCCTCGCCTCGACGGCAAGGGAGCGCAAGGGGTGGGGGGAGGAGGAGGAGCAGGAGCAGGAGGAGGAGGAGGAGGAGGAGGAGGAGCAGAGGGAGGGGGACCAGAGTAGACCCAAGAGTCATCAACGATGTTGGAATAAACCCTCCCTACAAGCTCCCAGGCCCCTACAAAGGGTTCATTCCCATCGAGGGAACTGCCTCGTTGGAAAACCCTGAAGCATGCCAAACCATTGTTCTCGGGATTCCAACGCCACGGATCAACCTGACTGTTGCGTTTGACCATCTTGAATCGTGCCAGGACGTCATTCTTGGGACTTCAAAGACCACGAACGAACGTAACTGTTGCACCCTCACAGTCCTGAATCCTTTCGAAAATATGTTTGGTGTTTTGATCCTGGGAAGCCGTGAAACCCTTCCAACTTGGTGAAACGCATGTAAATGTTTAAAACGAATGTGCGCTGCTCTAAGACGAGAACCACATATTGAAAACGGTTCCCCTTCAATCCGTGAAGATCTTGCAACTGTTTGAAACAAATGTGCGCGGCGCTGAAGCAATAGCCACATTTTGAAAACCAGCAGCCCTCAATATGTGACGCCGTTGTGCAAGTTTTTGCAACGAAAGTGCGCGGCGTAACCCGAGAGCCACATTTTGAAAACCACCCGCCCCCATCTGCGAAACCGTTGTCAATTTTGAAGCTTCAGGGCCATAAGTGGTGAGCAAGTCTCAGGCGAAACGCCCGGCCCGCCATAAACATTTGTCTCGGGGGCGAAAGAGCGAAGTTATTTACAAGGAAAAAGAATGGAGGAGGAATCCGTAGACATTTTGGCACAAACCATTTTGGCTCAAACCGTTTTGCCTCAGCCATTCAGGCCGCATCACCCCCAGCATCTTGGCTCAATGTGCTTTGCTCATGAACCCACTTGGGAGGTGTACGCTTGAGATGGCGCGAGGTGGTGCCCAGAGAGGGTGCTTTCATTTTTCTTCTGCATCGGACCGCCGTGCTCGACGCGTTCATGCAAGGCTATCATCCGAAATCCTCGTGCGGCGGTTCGGGTCAAAGATAGCCGCTCTGCAGGCACGCCACACGTCGGTCACGGGATCATCCCTGAGCCGCGCTTCGTAGATGAATGCCAAGCCTGCGCTCGGCAACCCCGCTTTGGGAGCGGGTCCGCATGCCATGAGTGAGCCAATGAGCTCCATAAGGCACGCTGCAGGCGTTTTTTATACTTGCCGTGTACTAGAGTTTTTGACCATCGGCGGGGAATTTCATAGCTGATCCCGCGTGCCGCGGGCGACCGATTAGCATGCAGAGGTGCCTTGATGTGGTTTCGCGAGCCTTTTGTGAGCTCTCTGGGATGGCCGGCCAGCGAAGCAAGACCGAGAGCGTTGGATAAGGATTCGCAGGGCCACACCGCGTCAAAGCGAGCACGAGTACAATGGAGCATCGCGTTGACATCGGCATGACAACGACGATGACGAAAATGGCACTGACATTCTCAAGTTACCCATGCGGAGCGATTGCGCTGTGAGTGTGTGCAAGTTGGAGTGATGTCCGGGCCTTCTTTTATGGGGCGGATCATTTATCACGCTGGCCTATACATAATATATATATGTATATATATATATATATATATATGTATGTATATGTATATAAATAACATACAGGCAGACAGATACACATATACAGTACTATAAACCTACTTATATATACGTATGTACCCTTACCGTGTACGAACCCATCGGATTCGGATTGCTCCCTGACCAAAGCTCTGTCGCAAATCTTTTACGGAAGTGTCAGGGATCTCCGAAGCTTGACGTCTCATGGTCACAACTACAGTCCCAACCGTGTAGAGCAGCAGCCTGATGTCGTCCCCTTTTTTGGCCCAGGGTCCGGATCGCACCCCGATCGGGTCTTGTGTCTTTTCTGATCCGACGTCCCATCCCCCTCCGATCCCTCCCTCTCTCCCTCCCCGCTGCCCGGTCCAGAATACTAATGGACGTCGGTTCGGGGCATTGAGGATAACGGAGCGAAGCAGCAGGATGGACGAGGAAGAGGGATGCTGTTATGTCCAGCAGTCCAAGACAGATCCGTGCCACGCGACAGACTGCCCTTACGACGACGCCTGCTGTAATCATGTGGTTTTCCCTGCGGGCAAACTTTGACGGCGAAATCGTCGTGGCGCTCTTTTCCCTTGCACCCTTACATCACTGCCATATTCATCCCTTGTACCTTTCCCACTATGCCAATTGAGGGCGCCAGACGCTCCCAGGCGTGTAGATGGGTGTCCGGGACTGTGTGGGGGGTGGGAGCGCACACCGTCTGAATTGTCAGTGGCGCGGCAGTGCCGTAGCACCCGCAGCGTGCGTACGATTCGAGTGTTTCGACGGCTCTCACATTTGTTGTCCTCCATTGACGTGCCAGTGCTTGGGCGTCATATCCGACGATCCGGAGGTCCGAGGAGAAGGAGGCGGAGAAAGAGGGGGAGGACGACAACGACGAGGGAACATGGGAGGGAGGGAACATTCACAGCCCAGGCGAGCCAGCAGGTAGCCCGAGGTGCTTCTGCCAACGCGTCTTTCCTGCACAGTTTGGCTAACATGTTCTCGCGGGCCGCGCTTGCATGGGATCCCGTCAGTTAGCATTGCGGCACGGGAACACGACCGGTCTGGGGAGCACCTGCATTGCATGTCTTTTCGGTTTTTGAAAACCTTGACTCAATTGGCCGTTTATGATCATATCCCTCCTTTCGCCTATCCTCCTCTCTCGTTTCTCATGTTCCATTTTCCCTCTTGCTCCCCCCGTCCTTGTCCTCCCTTCACCCTCCTCCCCCTCCCTTATCATTCTTCCCACTCACAAAAGATGCTCTCTCGCGGTTTGGCTTCAATGCCGGCGCGTACTAAACGCAGTATGATTCGTAACATTCCCCTATCGACATCTTGTTTCCGCAACGCTTGCTGCAGAGTGTGATGTGAACGCGCATTCGCACTCCCCTTCGCCTCCGCATTGGCACCATCCTCCAATCCCTGAACAGCTTGTGCCCATGGCTGTTTTGCAAGTCTTCGGCAATTCGCCCTGGACGCTCAGAGACAGCATCGTTCGAGTCGCTGTGAGGAACTGGCTGCGAGGGCATTAGCAGCTGCAGGCTACAACGCGATGTGCAGCACACGCCCACGAGAGCGCCAAGACGCCTCCCACGACCCATCGCACCCCACAGGTACTGGCCGCAATTTCGCGTCGGGAATGACCAGATGTTTCACAGCGGCACCTGCGAGAATGACCATCAGCGCTCACGACGTCCAGGGCCCACGAAGTCCCGCATGGGTCCCAACCCACATACGTAGAAGCCAACAGCTCCGCTTGGGCTCTCCGGAAGTCCACCAAACCTTCCAGGTACGTTTCAGCGTCTGGGTCCCACAAGGCCTTGATTGTAAGTATCGTGGACCTTGCAGAAGGGCGGGTGCATCTCCCAGGCTGGTTTCGATTCCTGCTGCTCTGAGTCCTTCGCGGTCTGATGCGCGCCCCTGCCATGCGAACGTTGACTTCGCGCTGGCGTGTCGGCGAGGCAACCAAGAAGAATGCTCCGTTGTGAGGCCGAGGAAACGAGGGGGGGCACGAGCGACCACCCCGAAGACGCACTGATCCATATCGGCTGTGTGCGTGATGGGCGCCAGCATGGGAGCTTGAAGTGGTGCCCACGAGCATAAAATGGAGGCCCAGTATCCCGTTCGCATGCTTGTGCTGCCCAGGCTCCATCCAACCACTCGTGCCCACTTTAGCGTGCTGAGCCAGGAGGGTGACCAAAGCTATGAGCAACGTGTTTCCTGTTGTGAGCTGTCGTGCCCGTCGTGCTGTAGCATTGCAGACTCCCCCAACAGCGCTATCGGTACGAATCGGGGGCGGACCCGGGCCCTCAGCCCACCGCGCCGGCGACCAAGACTCACCAGGAGTGCCGCCGCCGGTCAGGCCAATGCGATGAGCAAGCACGTGGCAGGACCAGGCGGTCAGAGAATCAATATCCATCGCGACGCCAATGCTTCGGACCACCATTGCGAAATCCGCCGCATGAGGCGCCCCTTCCAGCTGCGCCTGGTAGTCACCTTCGCGTCGGCGCCCGCGAAACAAGGGCGCGATGTAAAACTTGGTCCTCTGGATTTTGAACGGAAATCGGGTGGCCATAAGACCAGAATGCACCGACATGCGATGCACGTCTGAAGGATACCGAACGGGGACCGTGTCATCGACTGGACAGGCGGCCCAGTGAAGCACTTCTTCTTGCGGCTCCTTCACATGATCCCTCGCCTCATCGGATAGCGCAGGGTCAGAGTCCAGCATGATAGACCGGGCTTGAGTGGGTCGGTCACGCGCAGAGGGGGGTAGGGGGAGGGGGGAAGGCTTCTTAGAAGCACCCCTTCTTCTTAGAAGACGCGAGCCTTCTCTATAGATGTAGGGCCAGCGCCTTCTAAGAAACAGCCTCTTTCTAAGAAGCCTTCCCCCCTCCACCAACCCCCCTTGTGCGCGCCGCCAAGTGGGAGCGAGCTGTTGCAATCAATCCTGCGCCAGACTGGACTTGACTCCGGGAGCCATGAGGGTTGGGACGGCAGCGCGCCGGCTGAGCTTTGCATGGGCGCGGGGAGCACTGTCCTCAACGTTCAGGGGGCACTCGCCGCAGGGCCCAAGGGAGCGCAGGCCACCAGGCAGATCGGAGCATCAATCAAGAGGTGATCGATGCGCAACGCGCGATTATGAGAGACAGGGAGGTATGCTTGACGTTGCGGCAGGGTCTGCGCCCGACGACGAGCAGGTCGAGAGTGCTGACGGTGTGCTCGGGATGTGTGCGTGCGAAGGCCCTGCAATTTCTCGAATTGCTGCCGACACCGTGGGCACGCGCGCGCCAGGGCAGGCGGTCCCGACAGCATGCGCGACGGCAGGACGTGGTCGCTCTTAACGCTGCGGGGGTACTGATGAGTCGGCACGCCAGCGCCGAAGAGTGTTTTTTGTATAGCATCTTGAGCGGCAGCGGCCCGTTCCATCCACCGAACCAGGACTTGCAGGATGAATTGTTCCCAGTCGCGAAGGCACTGAGGGATAGCAGGAAGGTCACCAAGGTCGGGCGCGTGCTGCTGCAGCCAACCTAAGTCATCCAAGGCAAGGTGAGCCAGGTGCGCCCAAGAAGTCGGCCGACTAGGCTACAATTGCTGCCAGAGGGCTTCCTTCAACACGACGACGCGACCGAGAAGAACGAAAACAGTTGGCGGCGCTCCGCGCAAGATAACAGCTAAGAATCGTATGTGTGCAGTGGGGGGAGGAGATGAGGTAAACGACGACGGGAGAAGGAAGATCAGAGTCAATTAGGCATGCAGGAGCGATGTTGCAACACGCCCTCCTGTCCCCAAAGTCCCCGCCTCATCAGTCTCTACACACTTTCCTCTTCACTTCAGGAAGCTCGCCCCCCCCCCCCCCGGAGAGACGAGCACCCGGTGTAGGATCCGTGAAGTTCAGCGATGTGTCCAGAGACCCCCGGTCTTCAAAGCGAGCACCACCCCGTCCGTACAAACGGTTGAAGCAGAGCGCACGTCTTGTGGTGAAATCAGAAGACGTTTCAAGCCACAGCCCCATGCCGAAAAGGAACCACCATCCGTGCAGCTGCTACATGCTGTCACACCTGTAACCGTTAGTGTCGAGGTTGTCTCAAGCGAGGGGCCCTTTTGAAAGCGGGCCGACTGCATGTCCATAGTTGTTGCACGCTTTTTAGACGATTGTGCGTGGCGTTGAGGCGAGATCTGCATGTTGAAGACGAACGGGCCTACATCTTTGAACCCGTTGCAGACTTTTGGGGGGAGTGCACGCGGTTTTAAGGCGAGAGCTGAATTTTGAAAGCAGGCCGGCCTCCACCTTTGAATCTGATACAGACGTTTCATAGGAACGCGTGCCGCGCTACGGCGAGAGCCCGCATTCTGAGGTGAGCCTGGAGATGTCGTTGGATGAGCGGGAGGAGGAGGAGGACGAGGTTGAGGATATGTGAAGAGGAGCATGGTGTTGTTGTTGGTGGTGGTTGTGGTGGTGGTGGTGAGGAGGAGGACGAGGAGGAGGAAGATGAGGAGCAGGAGGCGGAGGAGGAGGAGGAGGAGCAGGAGGAGCAGGAGGAGGAGGAGGAGGAAGAGGAAGAGAAATGGGATTGGGAATGGGATCCATGACGTAGTCATATACAGACTCCCCCCATGACCTCGTAGACAAACAGCGCGATGGAGAACAACAAGGCGAGCACCACCGAATCGTGCCACAGGGTTCACATCTGCTTGCAGTCGGGGGCTGGCGGCGGTGGCGCAGGTGGTGGTGCTGCTGCTGCCGCGGCCACTGCCGCCCTGAGCCCACTCATGAGGGATCCTGTGTTGCTCCTGCGCAGTTGTAGCGCTACTGATGCTGAGAGCGGCGGACCTGTGAACACATCGCAGGCCGCATACACCTAGCAGCGCAGCGGCACCGCCAGCCGCCCTCGCCTGCACACCCTGAGTGCCGTCCTTCTTCTCATGCTCCGCGGACCGTTCCTGCTCCGGGGGGAGGAGGCGGAGGCGGAGGAGGAGGAGGAGGAGGAGGAGGAGGAGGAGGAGAAGCAGGAGGAGGAGGAGGAGGAGGCGGAGGAGGAGGAGCAGGAGGAATTGGAGGAGGGGGAGGAGGGGGATGAGGAGGAGGAGGAGGAGGAGGAAGAGGAGGAGGAGAAGGGGGAGGAGAAGGAGGAGGAAGAGAAGGAGGAAAAGGAAGAGGAGGAGGAGGCGGAGGAGGTGGAGGAGGCGTGGCGAGGGGCGAAGAGGAGGCTGGGGCAGCCCGCCAGGGGCCCAGGCCTGCGTCGTGCTCGGCCTGGATGTTGAGAGGCGGAGGCTCCTGGCAGCGCGGGCGCACGCGCAGATCTACGGCCGGGCACGGGGCGGCAGAGAGCCGAGCATTTTCTTTGGGTGGTGGGCTAAGGGTGACATCTGAGATGCCGTGTCGATTGGTGCTCGAAGCTTGAATCTGCAAGATGTGAATCACAGGTCGATCCGAGAGGAAGCGTGCTGCCTAATAATCCCCAGATGTCTGAAGCATGCTACAAACATGTAATACACATGTAGCAGACATGGTTAAAACACTTGTGGGACATTTTAAACTATCAAGCAGGTAAAACCGCATCTTTAACTCAATGATCGGATTGTTCGAGTGTCCATTGTCATGACATCCACAGGGAGAGAGAGAGAGAGAGAGAGGACTGGGAGCAGGATGATCAGCAGGGGGCCAGGAGGCGGGGGCGTGGGAGGAGATGGCGGGGAGGGGGGAGGAGAGCGGAGGGGGATGGGGGCCGCTGTGCTGACCGTGCCCTTGCATCTTGGCCTCCCGGATGCGTGCTGATGCGTACCGCGTGTGGCCGACATGCTTACATTTCGTTCAGGAATTTCACGAGGGCACAATGTACAAACACTGGCAGTGAAAGCCATTCTAGCAGAGGGGGACGCCTTGAACAAGAATGTCCACCAACGGCGAAAGAGGAGGAAATAGGGTGAGTGTGATCGATTGGCTTGAAGAGGTCGGTCCGCTCAGGCTGCCTGGGTGGTATGAGACTGCTAAACCCCGAGCCGCGATGAGAACCACAGCGGAACTGATGAGCATGTCTCCCATGTCGGATTTCGAATGCAATTCTAGACGCTTCGCGCAACCTCACCAGCCCATCCAGAAACGATGCTCAGAGGAATTGCCTCGGTCAGCGAAGTGGGCAGCACACAGGGGAAGGGTCCCCCAGTGGAGGCCTCTTGGAGCGTCTTGGGGGCCTCTTGGCGGTCCCGGACGCCTCTTAGAGCGTCTTGGGTGCTTCTGAGAGCTGCTTGGGGCCTCTTGGGGGTCTCTTGGGAGCCTCTTGGAGGTTTCTTAGGCGCCTGTCGGGGCCCCCTGGGGCCTCCTGGGCGCCTCTTGGGGCCCTCTTGAAGCGCTCTTGGGAGCCTTGGGAGCGCTCTTGGAGCCCTCTTGGGCCATCTTGAAGCCATCTTGAGGCATCGGATGGCCATCGGAAGCGCAAAGGCGAGACAGCCAAAAACATAGATTTTCCTGAAGTTGTGGAAGGATTTGGGCATCTTCGGGGCCTCCTGGGGGAGCTCTTTGGCCACTTGGAGCCGTCTTAGAGCAGTCTTGCTGCCTCTTGGAGCATCGTGGGAGCCAGCTTGAGGCATCTTGGGATATCTTGAGCCATCTTGGAGGTCATCTTGGCCTCTCCCAGACGCTCTTGGAGTCATCTTAAGCAGTGCACCCCCCCAGGAGGCCAACATGTGGCCAAAACCTTAGTATAATCAATGATGTTGGCATTCTCGCCGAGGCCTCTTGGAGCGTCTTGGGTGCCTCTGGGGGGCCTCTTGGGGCCTCTTGGGGGTCTCTTGGGAGGAGCCTCTTAGGGGCATCCTGGGGGCCTCGTGGGGGCCTCTTGGGGCCTCCTGACCGCCTCTTGGGGTCCTCTCCGGGTACCCTTGGGCGCCTTGGGAGCGCTCTTGGGGCCATCTCGGAGGAGATCGATCAAACCAGAGGGGAGCTTAAATTAGCCCCCCCCCAGAGGCCAAAATGAGGCCAAAACTGCAGTAAAAACACTGATTTTGTCTTCCTCGCCGAGGCCGTTTTGGACGCTCCGACCGCTCGCGGAACGCCGCGGAACGCCCCGTCCAGGTCCGGGGCAGGGGGTTAGGGGGAGGGGTAAACCCCTCCCCGACCGGGAAGAGGGAGGGGTGGAAGAGGAAACGCCTTCGACCACCTACGCCCAGAGGGCTGGTGGGATTTCGAGAGCTACGCCCATCTGGGAGCTGCGATACATGTACGCGTATACAACATTCGTAGAGGCATGTATGTGTAGGTTTACACCTATCAAGTGTAAGTCACCGCACGATTGTTGTATCAACATGCTTGTTCTGTCGTTCGCTTCCTCGTTGTGGTACCGCCTCCTGTTTCCCCTGTGTTCTTCTCGCACTCGTTTGCTGCTTCCCATTCTTTCGTCGCCGCGTGTCCAGCAACAACGCTGCCAAGTTTAGCAACCATGATGCCCACTCCATTCTCCTATGGCGTTTCCTTGGCCTTCGTTATGTTTCTTGGCTTGGTTCTGTGCCACGGTTTCAGAGAAAACGCGACTTATTCCGCATTGATGGCTGTTGCGTGAGAGCATTGTATGGGGCCTCTGTCTCGCGACGCAGCGACTGGTGAGGACGTCTCGGGCGAAACGCCCGGCACGCCCTGCTGGCACGTCTGGCGGTGCGACGAGGAGGTGCTGTTTATAGGGCAGAGGGGTGGGGGGCAGGAGGGCGACACCGCCCGCTGTTGTGGCGCGGGCAGGCGCCTCTGGGCGACTGGAGCTTGTGCTGGCCGACTTCCGCAGCGCCCCGCGCCTGCTTCGCCGCGGAGCTTCCCGGGGAGGGGCCATCTCTCCGCGCGCTGGAGCGCCATGGAGGCTCGTCGCGCCTGGTCGCCGCGAAAACCAGGGCCGCCACGAGGGTGCGACGTTGGTCGCGCGTCGCGGTCTGGGCGATTTCAGAGCGAGGCGCGACTGCCTCATCCTGCTCTGGGGGGGGGAGGGCGGCGCAGAAGCGCGAAGGTCATCGCGCGGTGATTTTTGAGCAAGGCGCGAGTGCCTCATCCTGTTCGGGGGGGGGGAGGGCGGCGCGAAAGCGCCAAGGTCATCGCGCTTCGCAACTCGCGGAGCGCGAAGCTCGAAGATGGCTGCCCTAAGAGGAAGCAAGAGCCTTCTTGCTCCGCTGCGGGCCCTGGGGCCCTTGCGGATCGGTCTGACTCGGGAGGTCCAGCACACTGATGGGGTTTGGGCTTGGAGGTCGTGCCCTCTCCAAGCCGTGCGTGCTCTCAAGGGTTGTTCTGCGGAAGTGAAGAGGATGGGGTGGGCCGGGGCTCGGCCATGTGGCCGGTTGGTGACCGCCCCCCGTGGGCGCCCAGCGCGCTGGGGGGCGGATGTGAGGCTTCGCCTCTGGGTGCCCGGTTGGTGCCCGCTTCGTGGGCGCCTCGTGCCCGCACGGTGTTCGCTTCGTGGGCGCCTCGTGGGCGCCTCGGGGTGCTTTCTGAACAGCTTGCACCACACAGCTTGCACCACCTAGCTTGCACCACATAGCTTGCACCACAGAGCTTGCACCACAGAGCTTGCACCACATAGTCGGCTTACACCGCATACATGTCGCCACATGCACCGCACCACAAGCCTTACTCCGCACGGCTTGCACCACAGAACTTGCACGCACAAAAATGATTGCGCAGCGACTGTGCGCGTACCGAATGAGATTGGGATCCACGCCAGCAAACATTTGCTCGACGTCGTGTTTTTTACCTAACAGCGAAGACTGATAGGTTTCTAGTAGGGTCAAAAGAGAGCATCATGACTCCTCAGGGGGGTCGGGGCGGGACCCGGGGCGGCTGCCGTCGAAGCCCAAATCGCCTGGGACATCCTCGCAAAATCGCTCTTGGCGCTGCTAGAACTCCATTCCCGGCGTACATTTTGGATGCCCGGAGCCAACTGTAGGCCACTTCGTGGTCTTCGAGTTCCCAGAACTCCATTCCCGGCACATTTTGGATGCCCGGAGCCAACTGTAGGCCACTTCGTGGTCTTCGAGTTCCCAGAACTCCATTCCCGGGCCACATTTTGGATGCCCGGAGCCAACTGTAGGCCACTTCGTGTTCTTCGAGTTCCCAGAACTCCATTCCCGGGCCACATTCCCGAACGAGAGGCCTGAGGCAGGCCCTGAGGCTGACTGAGGCTGAGGCTGAAGCAGGCTGAGGCTGAGGCTGAGGCTGAGGCAGGCTGATGCTGAGGCAGGCTGAGGCTGAGGCTGAGGCTGATGCTGAGGCTGAGGCAGGCTGAGGCTGAGGCCGAGGCTGAGGCAGGCTGAGGCTGAGGCTGAAGCAGGCTGAGGCTGAGGCTGAGGCAGGCTGAGGCTGAGGCTGAGGCAGGCTGATGCTGAGGCAGGCTGAGGCTGAGGCTGAGGCTGATGCAGGCTGAGGCTGAGGCAGGCTGAGGCTGAGGCTGCAGGACTGAGGCTGAGGCTGAAGCAGGCTGAGGCTGAGGCAGCCTGATGAGGCAGGCTGAAGCTGAGGCTGAGGCTGAGGCTGATGCAGGCTGAGGCTGAGGCCGAGGCTGAAGGCAGATTGAGACTAAGGCTGCAGGCTGAGGCTGAGGCTGAGGCTGATGCTGATGCTGAGGCAGCAGGCTGAGGCTGAGGCTGAGGCAGGCTGAGGCTGAGGCAAGCTGAGGCTGAGGCTGGCCTGAGGCTGAGGCGCAGAGGCTGAGGCTGAGGCAGAGGCAGGCTGAGGCTGAGGCTGAGGCAGGCTGATGCTGAGGCAGGCTGAGGCTGAGGCTGAGGCTGATGCAGGCTGAGGCTGAGGCAGGCTGAGGCTGAGGCCGAGGCTGAAGGCAGACTGAGGCTGAGGCTGAAGCAGGCTGAGGCTGAGGCAGAGGCAGGCTGAGGCTGAGGCTGAGGCAGGCTGATGCTGAGGCAGGCTGAGGCTGAGGCTGAGGCTGATGCAGGCTGAGGCTGAGGCAGGCTGAGGCTGAGGCCGAGGCTGAAGGCAGACTGAGGCTGAGGCTGAAGCAGGCTGAGGCTGAGGCTGAGGCAGGCTGAGGCTGAGGCTGAGGCAGGCTGATGCTGAGGCAGGCTGAGGCTGAGGCTGAGGCTGATGCAGGCTGAGGCTGAGGCAGGCTGAGGCTGAGGCCGAGGCTGAAGGCAGACTGAGGCTGAGGCTGAAGCAGGCTGAGGCTGAGGCTGAGGCTGAGGCTGAGGCTGAGGCTGAGGCAGGCTGATGCTGAGGCAGGCTGAGGCTGAGGCTGAGGCTGATGCAGGCTGAGGCTGAGGCAGGCTGAGGCTGAGGCCGAGGCTGAAGGCAGACTGAGGCTGAGGCTGAAGCAGGCTGAGGCTGAGGCTGAGGCAGGCTGAGGCTGAGGCAGGCTGAGGCAGGCTGATGCTGAGGCAGGCTGAGGCTGAGGCTGAGGCTGATGCAGGCTGAGGCTGAGGCAGGCTGAGGCTGAGGCCGAGGCTGAAGGCAGACTGATGTTGAGGCTGAGGCAGGCTGAGGCTGAGGCTGAGGCAGGCTGAGGCTGGGGCAGGCTGAGGCTGAGGCTGAGGCAGGCTGAGGCTGAGGCTGTGACTGCGATTGCCGTTGCCACTGCGACTGCCATCGCGAATGCGACTACGACTGCGAGAACAGCAGAATTCTACAACAGGATTCTCATCTGAATCTTAACGGGAATGCTTCCAGATATGCTCCTACACATCGCTGTTAGGTTGCTTTGCCGGGATAATTTCCGACCTCGGATGTCGGGGTCTGACGTGACCGTCTCTAGAGAAGGCCAGAGTTGACCTCTCAGCATCGACGAGCGCCAGCGGAAGGATGGCGGAGGCCAGCAGAAGTGGAACGGCGATGGCGACGCCGTCGGCGGGAGGTCGCCAGAAGGCGACGGAAGGAATAGTGGACCTCCAAGATGTTGGCGTTATAGGGTCTTCTGAAGTCGGCCACGTGGCGAGTAGGGAGGCCTGCACCACCACCCGTGCCTCCACAGGGCGGGCCCATATCCTGGTGGGCACGGCTCCCCGGCGTGGCAGAGAGCCCCGTCTCCACGAAGAGTTGGGCCCGCACTGGGGCTGCGGAGGCTCTCAGGGGCAACATTGGAGGCAGATGGGCGCAGGGGGGGGTGCATCGACTCCCAATCTCGGGCCGAACGAAAGGGGGGGATAGGGAAGGGGGGGGTACGAAATCTGCTGCATGCAGCTGGTTTCGGCCCCGCCGCCAAGCCCACTCCTCGATACATGGGCGCCTCCCGGCGCCGGGAGGCGCCGGGAAAATCAGCTACGTGAGCTGTTTCTCACCCCCCCCCTTTGCTATCCCCCCCAATCGCCCGACCCGAGAGGTCCGATAGCCCGCCCCGCCCGGGACCGTGCAGATTGGTTCTCGCGGGCCGATCGCCGATGCCTCGCCGGTGCCAGCTCGATGTTTTTTCCTCCCTGAGCCCGTCCCCGCCTTCCGTCCGCGTCCGCGGGGGTCGCGACGGCGGCGCGAGGGGGGCGGCCTGGGAGGCGAAGTCTAGGCCTCCTGGATCCCAGATGGGGTCCGAGTAGGTGGGGTCGGGGGATCGCGCCGCCGATGCATCGCCGACGTCGGCGGTGTATCGCTGGTGCATCGCCGGTGCATCGCCGATGCATCGCCGATGCATCGCCGATGTATCGGCGATGCGGCGCGATCCTCCGACCCTATCTACTCCGGCCCCATCTAGGAGGCCTCTACGAAGGGGGGTGGCTTCTGAGAAGGCGGGTGGTTTCCTGGAGGCCAGCTCGGCCTCTCGAGGCAGTCTTCTCAGGAGCCTCTGGGCCCATCGAGGAGGGCCAATGCCTTCTGAGAGCCCCCTGCCTTCTTTGGAGGTCGCCCTCCTCGCGTGTCGTGACGACCCCAGGGTTGGTTTCTGACACCATGTGAATCGCTCAACATTGAACGATCGTTTCATACTGGCCGATAATGGGCCACTGGTGGCGCTCAACCTTGAAAGTCCGCGGCGGTGTCGCCGCCACGTCGATGCGACACGATCCTACTGTACCCATACTCCACCCCGATGGTGAGGGGAGGAGGAGGAGGAGGAGGAGGAGGAGGAGGAGGAGGAGGAGGAGGAGGAGGAGGAGGAGGAGGAGAAGGAGGAGGAGGAGGAGGTGGACGCTGCCAGATTCACAGCTAGCGACGCCGGCGCAGTAGCGGATGCCACAAGTCATGCTCATCATCTCTGCCCGGGAACTCTTCCTGCTCAGCCGCTCTCGACATGCTTATCAGAGGGTGACGATCAAGCTGGCACTGCTGTAGCACAGTGCCATTCTGACGAGAGACAGGGTGGCGGAGGAAGGGGTACATGTCGTGCTCAGTCTGTGCTCTTTGGAAGGGCTAGCACAGGAAGCCTCGTTTCCAAAGCACACACGCATAGCGGGAAGGAGTGGCCGCGGGCGTCTTTCTGTCGCCTCCGTGGGCCGACGGGGGCGTGGTGAACCCGGACAACGACGGGCGCACATCTGGTGCCTCCATTTCTGTGTTCTTTCTCTGGCAACTTCGTCTGCCTTCGATTTGCTTCGAGTGCCCATTCTGCCTCTTGCGTCCAAGCAGAGATGTGTTACACGTCATGTTTGAGCTTTCAGCCAAAGGACCGTGTACATGAAGCTTGCGCAGAAAAAAGGCATAACCAGGGACGTTTGAGGGGGATCGAGAGGGAATGGGAGGGGAGCGGGTTGGGGTCAAGTGGGAGGGAGAGAGACAGAGAGACAGAGAGGGAGAGAGAACGAGAGAGAGGGAGAGATGATTCTGCATAAAAAGGGGGTGCGTGGCGACACAGGGTTCGTGTTGGCGGATGTTGCTTTGATTGTCTGCGCAGCGAACGCAGCCAAACATATATGTTCGTCTATGCGAGAGAACTCCGGACATGTGCCTTGGGTCCACGTGCGTGCCTCTCGCTTGCTGGTGCTAAGAGAACCGGGTCCCAGCATGTCCCCCAGGGCTGCCAACATCCGGGACCATGGGCCCGCATTGCTGGCTGACCATTTGATTTGCAGTGTTCCCTTGAGGGCTGCCGCTCCTATTGCTGCCGTGGATCCGTGCTGGGCCGTCTTGGAGCATGGCGCCGTACCCTTCGTTCCTTGGATTATGTTCGGCCCCCCAGGGTCCGTCAGAGGAGCTTTGAATAGTTGAAGGAGGTCATTTCTGGCACAGCACAAGTGCCCCCTAATGAGCGTGCAATGTGTAGAAGAGTATTTTTTCGATTCGAATGCCCTGGCACCTCCCCCCCCTCCAGGGGCTCGCCCTTGCGATCCAGTGGCGGCTTCCCCCGCTCCGCCCGCCTCCCTCCCAGGCCCCCATCCTCCTCCTCCGCTGCCGTTCTGGCTCAACGGCCGCAGCGCCAGCAGCCTCGTCGCGGCGCTAGGCCTGACACGAGCGCGCCCAGCCCCGCCAGGCCCCGGCAGTCGGCGACGGATGGGATACCTCAAAGAGGAGCTCGGCTGGTTCGCGCAGCTCGGCCGCCTGGCCTCCGCGATGAAGGGCCGCGACCCGAAGAAGGAGGTGGCCTACAGGGCGCCGAAGGCGCCGGCCGCGCCCCTGGACGAGGTGCAGTGGAAGTCCTTCGACCTCGCGGACGTGATGGAGGCTGGCCTGGCGCGGGAGCTCACCACGAGCTTCACGACGGCCCCGCCAGAGGGTAAGGCCGCCTCGCGACTGGTGGTGGAGCGGTCCACGGACCGCACCCAGCACCTGTTGAAGAGCGCAGACGACGAGGCGCTGCTGCTGGCGGTGTGCGACGAGGAGGACCACGCGGTGATCAACTTCTACGTGCCGACGGGAGGGGACCCGCCCGTGGCCCTCGGCCCCGCCTTCCGGCTGGCGGCGGAGGACGACGAGCTGCGCACCTGGACGCTCACCACGGACCGCTGCGAGTGCTGCGAGTTCCTGCCCGCCCCGCGGGCCTGCTGCTCGGGGGCGGGCAGGCGCACGTGCCGGCGGGAGCTCGCTCGCATCCACCAGACGCGCGAGGACTTCGGGCCGTGCAGCATGGTCACCATGGAGGTGGCGCTGCCGGTGCTGCGGCCGGACAACACCCCAAGCCTGTGGTGCGGAGGCGCTGGCGGGTCGGAGGGGCAGGAGAGGTTGCTGCTGGAGTCGAGGAAGCCCAGGTGGAACAGCCGCCTGAAGAGCCTGATCTTGGATTTTCCACGGCCGCTGCTCCAAAGCCTCCATCCAGAACTTCCAGCTGGACCTGGCGACGGGCGAGGGGAGCGACGCGGGCTGCCCCAAGCTGGGGGAGCCGGAGATCCTGTTCGGCAAGACTGGGCCGAACAGGTTCGCGCTGGACTACAAGCACCCGCTGGGGATGGCGCAGGCATTCGCCATTGCGCTCACGACCAACCTCTGGCAGTAGTAGGCCTCGTGGCTGGCGTGCTCTCCGCAGGGAGCAGTCCTTGTGTTTTTTGTTATGCCTGCTGTCCACCGCCGGTGCGCGCCCTGCCCTGCAGACCGACGGCAGCCCGATCCCACGTCCTCTCTGTCTGTTTTTTGTGCTGCCTGCTTTTTTGTTGTCCACCGCCAGTGTACGCCCTGCCCTATGCAGACCGACGGCAGCTCGACCCCACGTCCTCTCTGCCCCCCCCCAGGTCCCTCCCCGGTGACGGGCGCCCCCCGCGGCCCACAAGAGGTGGCGGCGGCGGGGCGCCCGGCCGGCGGGCTACGCGAGGCGAACAGGAAGTCCCGCCTGGGCCGCGCGCACAGCTTTCTTTAACGCAGCGTCCCGCGCCGCCCCCGCGCGCTGCGGCCGGGGTGCGCCCTCCGCGTCTGTCGAACACTAGGCACGAGGCGTCATGAGGAGCGCCCCCGTCCCCGCACGGCGGGCAGCGGGACCGTCGGCGCGCCAACCTGGCCGCCGCGCTCAGGGCCGGGGCGGCCCGGCCGAGCTCGGAGCACCGTGGCTCCGCAGACCTCCGCGCCCGCCCTTCAAGAGGCTCGTCTCCACGCACGGGCCCTCCTCCGCCTCCGCCAGTCCCCCTCTCCCCATCCGGTCCTCCCCCTCCTCGGTTCTCGGCTCTCGGTGCACACCCGGAGGGGGGTGATCGTGGCTGCCCTGGGCGGTGCAGTCGAAGGTCCCCCCCCTACAGACAGACGTGTGCCGGGCCCCGAGACCCTAGACCTGCGCCACGTGGCTGGCAGGCAACGGGTGCACGCACCAGTAAGAGCCCCAGGACAGCCCCCTGGGACCGTCTCAAGGCATGGTGGAAGGTTGAGTTCCGAACCGCGCTCCCGAGGCTCCGGAGAAGTGACACGGCACGCCCCAGGAGCGCCAAGAGACGCCCAGAAGTTCCCAGAACTCGTGGTCCCGGGCCAGTTAAAGGTTGCAGTCACGATATTTTTGGCCGAGAGCCCGACGGGACCTGATGGCACTGCACCCAGGGCCTCGCAGCACGGAGGCAGATAGTTGAAAGAGTTGGACGAATCACGATTTGAGTTTTAGCAAGGTGAGTCCGAGATGTTAGACGAAATCGAAGATATCAAGTTATGGAAGGTCCAGACCATTGATACCATTTACCTGTTATGTTTATGCACGACATGTTCTATGTATACATGGCTAGGCGGGACGATAGAGACTGGTCATAACAGGTAGGGAAAGCGACATGTCTGGATTGGTTAGATGAGTTACGCTATGCTGCCCTTCGTGGCCCCGTTGCAGTCCTTCGTGGCCCCCTCGCTGCCCTTCGTGGACCCGGTGCAGCCCTTCGTGGCCTTCTCGCTGCCTTTCGTGGCCCCGTTGCAGCCCTTCGTGGCCCCCTCGCTGCCCTTCGTGGCCCCGTTGCTGCCCTCAGTAACCCCGTCCTTGCCCTCTGCGACCCAATCTACGTATGCCTTTCGTGGCCCCCGCTCGTTCGCGCCCGTCCCCTTCGTGGACCACTGTCGCCCTTTGTGGCCCCATGCTTCAGACTAAGGACACATCGAACTGCTTAGCGAACTGCACGAATTAGACGTGGGAAACAAGTCAGGGTTTCTGGAATGGCTTAGGAGAGCTAGAAGGTTTCTCAGGGCTGGGAGATGAGCTGCACTGCAAATCCGACGCGGGTTCAATCGCAAACCGAATGCTGCACCCACCCACCTCAGCCTCAGTGTCACCCTAAGTTTGGTCTTACAGGCACTATTGTTCGAATGCCCTGGACCCTCCTCCCTAGGGGCTCGCCCTTGCGATCCAATGGCGGCTCCTCGCGCGCTCCCCCTTCCCCCGCTCCGCCCTCCTCCCTCCTGGGCCCCTATCCTCCTCCTCCTCCTCCTCCTCCTCCTCCTCCTCCTCCTCCTCCTCCTCCTCCTCCGCTGCCGTTCTGGCTCACCGGCCGCAGCGCCAGCAGCCTCGTCGCGGCGCCAGGCCTGACACGAGCGCGCCCAGCCCCGCCAGGCCCCGGCAGTCGGCGACGGATGGGATACCTCAAAGAGGAGCTCGGCTGGTTCGCGCAGCTCGGCCGCCTGGCCTCCGCGATGACGGGCCGCGACCCGAAGAAGGAGGTGGCCTACAGGGCGCCGAAGGCGCCGGCCGCGCCCCTGGACGAGGTGCAGTGGAAGTCCTTCGACCTCGCGGACGTGATGGAGGCTGGCCTGGCGCGGGAGCTCACCACGAGCTTCACGACGGCCCCGCCAGAGGGTAAGGCCGCCTCGCGACTGGTGGTGGAGCGGTCCACGGACCGCACCCAGCACCTGTTGAAGAGCGCAGACGACGAGGCGCTGCTGCTGGCGGTGTGCGACGAGGAGGACCACGCGGTGATCAACTTCTACGTGCCGACGGGAGGGGACCCGCCCGTGGCCCTCGGCCCCGCCTTCCGGCTGGCGGCGGAGGACGACGAGCTGCGCACCTGGACGCTCACCACGGACCGCTGCGAGTGCTGCGAGTTCCTGCCCACCCCGCGGGCCTGCTGCTCGGTGGCGGGCAGGCGCACGTGCCGGCGGGAGCTCGCTCGCATCCACCAGACGCGCGAGGACTTCGGGCCGTGCAGCATGGTCACCATGGAGGTGGCGCTGCCGGTGCTGCGGCCGGACAACACCCCAAGCCTGTGGTGCGGAGGCGCTGGCGGGTCGGAGGGGCAGGAGAGGTTGCTGCTGGAGTCGAGGAAGCCCAGGTGGAACAGCCGCCTGAAGAGCCTGATCTTGGATTTCCACGGCCGCTGCTCCAAAGCCTCCATCCAGAACTTCCAGCTGGACCTGGCGACGGGCGAGGGGGGCGACGAGGGCTGCCCCAAGCTGGGGGAGCCGGAGATCCTGTTCGGCAAGACTGGGCCGAACAGGTTCGCGCTGGACTACAAGCACCCGCTGGGGATGGCGCAGGCATTCGCCATTGCGCTCACGACCAACCTCTGGCAGTAGTAGGCCTCGTGGCTGGCGTGCTCTCCGCAGGGAGCAGTCCTTGTGTTTTTTGTTATGCCTGCTTTTTTTGTTGTCCACCGCCGGTGCGCGCCCTGCCCTGCAGACCGACGGCAGCCCGATCCCACGTCCTCTCTGTCTGTTTT